AGAGGGAGACACAGAATCCAAAGCAGGTTCCAGGCTCTAGGCTGTCAGCACAGAGCCTGACGTGGGGCTTGAACTCACTGACTGTGAGATCATGACCCGAGCCGAAGTCGGATGCCCAAACGACTGAGCCACCCAGGTGCCCCACAGTGGGGTTTTCATAGCTTGGTGGCCAAAGGAAGGCGGAGACTCGATGTGCTGTCGCAAACAGGCCAGGTGAGCACATGCTGGGCCTGGGCCCTTTCAGCAAACACTGGCTTCATTGGTGCACCGCACGGATGCTTTGCTTCCCGGTTCACCATCAGACCGCTTCCTTCAAAACTGGCAAAATGTGTGTATGGATGTACACCCCCGCCCCCCACATCTGTGCATATCCAAGACCTAGGTCTCTTCCACTTCCTTCTCCTTCCCCCCGTCTCCTCCAAGAGGCACAAAATCAGAGTAGTATTACATCCCATTTTCTTCCATCCTTCTCTGTACCTATATAATGTAAAAACCCAATAAACTAGGGAGATGATGTGAATCACCCCGAGCCTCACCTATAATTTCTACTCTGCCACCAACCAGCTGTGCCACTTCGGGAAAGTCAGCCACCATTCCTGAACTTCAGTTCTGGATGGTACCGAAGGGGTTCCTCTGGGAACTCCTCAAAAGGGCACTCACTTTAGGCAACGGCCCAGATCTTGTTCTTTTCACCACGACTCAGACTGAAAGGTGAACGTGTCTCATTCCCTGGGGCAGACTGATCTTACCAAGGAGGACCCTCAAATAAAACAAGTCTTCTTGATGTCTGTGCTGACAGCTCAGAGCCTGCAGCCTGTTTTAAATTCTGTGTCTCCCTTTCTCTGCCCCTCCCCTGCTCGAACTCTGTCTCTCTCTCTCAAAAATAAACATTAAAATTTTTTAAAACATTATTTAAACCTGTAAATCATATAAAAGTTATCAATGAGATATTTCATGTCTTGTTTCACACCGAGTCTTCGACACTGGTGTGTATCGGACACTAACTGCACGTCCCAATGCCGCGTGTGGCCGCTGGCACTGTATGGGTGGGGCAGGTCTACGAGGTGACATGGGGCTGGGCAGGTCTACGCAGGGCTCGAACTCACCAGCTGTGAGATCATGACCTGAGCCGAAGTCAACCGCTCAATGGACTAAGCCACCCAGGGACTCCTGAAATAATATTTTAAACAGAGCAGACTTAGAAACATATTAAAATGAACATGACATGAGCCCTGGTGCTTGGCTGGCTCCAGGGGAGGGTCAGGCCCCCAGGAAGGGAGGCGGGTCTCCCTCGGGCCGATTCTCCCCTGTCTCTGAGAGGACTCAGTGGACAGGAAGATGAGTGTGGGGGTGCGGGGACTGCATCTGACAGGGAGCGGCCTCCCCCTGGGCTGTTTAGAGACAGACCCCCATTTCCCAAGACAGGCCCTCCTTCTCTGGGGAGCCGGGCAGACCGTGACGGAGCCACCACAGTGACCCCAGAGCCCGCGGCGAGGCGGGGAGCGCGTCCCCGGCTGGCCTGGGCTCCTGGACGAGGGTCCCGGTGCACGCTTAGTGGCTCTGGACAGCGTGTCGTGGAAGAGAATGGCTGTGGCCTCACTGCTGCAGGGAGGAGAGGAAGGCTGCTTAGGGGTGGCTGGTGAGGCCCCGTCTCAGGGAGTCTACGTCCCCCAGTGAGGACACCTGGGCCCTCCCAGACGTCGCTGACTCCCGACACCACCCGCCCCTGCGATGTCGGTGCGCATCCGGTGTCTGCTTTGACCGATCATGTGTCATCATCAGGTCACACGTTGCTGCTTTCCCGCCAAACCCAGGAACAGACTGGCTGCAGACTTGGTAGCTTCGGCAGGCTCACATTTTGTCCACATACTGGTGGTGTTTTTATTTTTTTTAATGTATCTTTTTTAAGTTTATTTATTTTGAGAGAGAGAATGTACAGGAGGGGCAGAGAGAGAGACAGAGAGAGACAGAGAATCCCAAGCAGGCTCCGTGCTGTCAGGGCAGAGGCTGATGTGGGGCTCGAACTCCCAACCTGTGAGGTCGTGACCTGAGCCGAAACCAAGACACTGACCTGAAGGAACCCCCAGGCCCCCCTTCCCCCTCCGCCCGGTTGTGTCTTGACTGGTGAGCCATGTCTCTGTCTGCCTTTGGCATAATCGGGGGCAGAGCAGGGACAGGGCGTCCCGGCCTGATGGGGCGGCTTCCCTTCCCAGGATGGGAGTGCTCCCCAGCCCAGGCCGCCTCAGGGCCCTCAGGGCAGCTTCTCTGGCGCGGGAGGCAGGGCTGAGGCTGCTGCGGCTGGAGGCCCCGAGGGCCCGCTGAATGGGCCGCCTGTGCTCTGACCGGCCTGGTCCCCCCCGCAGGGGAAACAACCAAGCCGAGAGCTGAGAAATCCTAATAAAACACCACTCCCGGGAAACCACTTAAATGAATCGCTGCTAAGGTAATAATAACCCTTTTGGCAAATGCATTTTCTCCGTCCGGAGCCAGAATCTGTCGAGTCCTCCAAAGGCCCCTGTGACGGGCCGTGGGGCGGGCCCCGCCGAGTGGACGTTCCTGCGGCTCTTAAATTCTGTGCTTTTCACAGGGCAGGGCCTGACCAGGAATTTAGAAGACTCCGATGCTTAATGAAACATTCTGGGGCTGTATGTGTTTAACAGATAGATGTATTTATTGGGACCCAAGCAAAATAAGTTTTAAAAATATTTTTATATTGATCTCATTTATAGTTTCATAATAAGCAATTTTTTTAGGGGGCCAGGGCTGTGTCGGCGCCCCGGGGAGGCTGAGGATATCGGAAGGGTTACTGATCATTTTCTCCCTGTCAAACTCAGCTCATACTGGCTGGAGGAGGGGCCGAGGGCTAACAAAATCAATTCCCCCCCCCCCCAACCCGAGCTCAGATGTGAGGTGCATGGAGCAGCCCGGGGGCACCCCTCCCCCGCTGCCGTGTCACCTCTGGCCAGGTGACAGGCCCCAGCCTGTTGCAGGGAGACCTGCCCGGCAGTGGTCCTGACCCAGGACTACGCCGCACACTCTGCCCTCTTCTCTGACTCAGACCCACCCGGGGTCACCTTGAGGACCTCACTCTCCTCTCTGGCCTCATTCGTTCGTCTTTACAGTTAGGGGTGTTGGTGGGAAGCAGGTCCTTTCCTGGCCCCTGATGTCACTTCTCCGGCATCCAGGGTGGACCCTGGGCACTAGCTGGGGCGGCGGCATGATTTGCGGGCTTCGGTGCCAAACGAAAACACAGGGTCCCTTGTTCAAAAAGCAGGAGCAGAGCTTTTCCTGTGGTTTCTCTTTTGAAACCTGTCTTAGTGTTTTTTTATTTGCTATATAATGTTGTGCAAGTGCAGACCCCTCAGGGGCCCGGGCCCACCCGTGACTTGGCGCCTGCCCCCAGCCCTGCCCCCACCTGCCCCCAGCGGTCAGGTACAGGTCACTGGGCTGGGCAGGCGGCAGCCTCCATTGTCCCGCTGGACTCCGTTTACCACACACAAACTCAAAGGGACGTATGAAGAATCTCAAGACCTTGACCAGCAGACGCAGGACCCCTGTGAGCTGGGTGTGCCATGTGACCCGGCCGGGGCTGCCTGCCCGGGGAGCTGGCCCAGTGCCCGAGGAGCGACACTGCCCCCAGGGACTGACCCCCGCTTGGGCCGAATGCTGCTGCAGCTGGGCCTTCCAACCCGGAGGGGGGATCGTTCAGCCTCCTCCAAGTCAAGCTTCTGTCGCTGGCCTCTGAGTTGAGGCCCCAATCTAATATGGCCCCCAGGAAAAAGCAGTTTCTCCAAACTACCTGGGGTTCCCTGCTGATCACTTGATTCTGCTAGTCTGCCTTTTTTTAAAAAATTTTTTAAAAATGTTTGGGGTGCGTGGGTGGCTCAGTCGGTTAAGCGTCCGACTTTGGCTCAGGTCGTGACCTCACGGTTTGTGGGTTCGAGCCCCACGTCGGGCTCTGTGCTGACATCTCAGAGCCTGGAGCCTGCTTCAGATTCTGTGTCTCCCTCTCTCTCTGACCCTCCCCTGCTCACGCTGCCTCTCTCTCTCTCTCAGAAATAAATAAATCATTAAAAAAATGTTTTTATTTATTGCTGAGACAGAGAGAGAGAGAGACATGTGAAGACAGGCTCCAGGCTCTGAGCTGTCAGCACAGAGCCCTACATGGGGCTCAAACCCACGAACTGTGAGATCATGACCGGAGCCGAAGTTGGATGCTCAACCCACTGAGCCACCCAGGCGCCCCTATTATTATTTTTCAAAATCCCTTTTACCAACCTGCAGGGTACAATTCTGTAAGGAGGCATGGAGTTTGGTATAGATCTCTCTCTTTGTCCACAGAGAGTCATGTTAGTCTTACTTGTCATCTGCAGTGGGACTTAGAAGTCCCTGATGGTACAGGGGCGCCTGGGTGGCTTGGTCGGTTAAATGTCCGACCTCGGCTCAGGTCATGATCTCATGGTTTGTGGGTTTGAGCCCCATGTCGGGTTCAGTGCTGAACACTTGCTTGGAGCCTGGAGCCTGCTTCAGATTCTGTGTCTCCTTCTCTCTCTGCCTCTTCCCCACTCACACTCTATCTCACTCTCTCAAAAATAAATAAATGTAAAAAAAAAGTTAAAAAAAAAAGTACCCGATGCTTGCAAAGGGTCAACCCTGGGGCTCAGTCGTTTACATGACCGATGAGCCCTCTTGCTAAATCTGCTATATTTTAAAGGCCTACGAGCACGCTGTCCCAAGGGGAGTCCAGCTGGGCCCTGGGTCCTGCCTGCTGATCACAGAGCCGTTTAAAGGAAATCCCTCCGGGCACACCTAGCTCCTCGGCTGGAAAGTGGCCTGCAGGGCAGACGCGGAGCGAGGGAGACACAGATAGGAAACACCTGTTCCCTGGGCTGAGCTGGGCCAGGCCTTGCTTTATATTTGCGTGTTTTCCTTTCAGTGCGTTCAAACTCAATATAGCGGTGAAATTAAGTACATCAGCAACCCATAGCTACCATACCAAATGCATAAATACTAGGATTTTAAAAATCTGTAATAACGGGGGCTGGGGGTGAGCCTGGCCCCCGGCCAGCCCGGGCTCCTGCGTACAATGGGGACAGTGTGTGCGATCTGGCCCCTCAGTGCTGGGAAGACCACAGGCAGGAGAGTGCGCTTCCTCCCCGGGTGGCCCGGCCAGAGGTGCAGGTCCGCGGAAGGCTCCGGCGGGCCCCGGGGGAGCGGGAGGGCTGTGGACGGCTCTAACCTGCAGACGTGAGCCCCCGAAGCCGGCTGTCATCAGGGGGGCGCGGGCTGAGCGATGCGGTGTGGGGAGCGGGGGCGCCTGGCCGCTGCGGGGGAAGGTGTAGAAATCTGACACAAACGCAAATGTTTTACCTTCTAAATCACCTTGGTCTTCACAGTTGAAATTCATCCTGAACTTCCCACCCCAGTGTCTCGCGCGGGAGGGGCGGCGGGGGGAGCCCAGGCTGCTTCTCGCTTTCCCGACTCACAAGCCGTAATTCTTCCTCCCGGCCGCAGCCAAGTTCAGCGCACCCTGAGACGCTGAGCTGGCGAAGACCTCAGGAACGTTCTGGGGCCTTCCACCTCCTCCACCTCCAGGCTCCGCTCGCAGAGAGGGGCCCAGCCTCGGCAGATTTCCCCAGGCCGTTCTGTTTGGGGTTTTGCCTTCCTGGGGCTCTCCTTGGGCCATGAGAGCCCAGAGCTTGTCCCCTCGGGCGTCTTTCAGCATCAGCCCCAGATCGGCATGTTGACCGAGGCCGTCCAGGATCCTCCTCACTGCCGCCCTCCGTGTGGTGATGCCCTGTCCACGCTGAGGGGACTGTGGCTTCCGAGCAACCGGTCTTGAGCATGGGGTCAGACGTCCAAGACTCCTGGACGGGGCTCCCCAGGGTGCCCTGCAGTCTCCCGGGACTCAGGGAGGAGAGCCACCCTCCGGCACCAGCCCCTGCAGCCTGGCTCCTGGCTTCCTCTCCACTGTCAGGCCCATGCTCGACGATGCCAGAAAGCTACTTCCCAGGAGCGGCATGTTAGTTTCCTTGGGCTGCTGGGATAATGTGTCAGTTATGTATTAACCACTGCCAATCCCACGTGAACTTCCTGACACATTACTCCCGAGGTCCCCACGTGTCTGCCGGGTCACAGGGCCACGCTCGTGGCCCGAGCAGTGCTGTCGTGGGCCCACGGCTCTCCTGACCCCCAAGGGACACCTCCCCGGCTCCTTCCTGCCACCGTGGTCGTGAAGGCGCAGCCCGGTGCCTCTGTCTGTTTCCTGACCTCCATGTGTGGCCGGCTCCGTGGCCCCCTGCATGGTGTGGCGCGTCTCTGTCCCCAGGGTGGTGGGAGGCTTGAACCTTCTTTCAAGGGCATGAGCCCCCCACCCCCCGTGTGAACACTCATTCTCTGTTATAAATTAAGACCCAGGCACAGTGCGAAACTTCCCCCGATCTGGCGGCTTACAGCACAGATCTATTCTTGTGCCGTTCTGGGGGCTTTTCTCAGGCTCCAATAGACGTTGTTGCCTTGACGTTTCAGCTTCTGGTGGCCGCCCGCCCCCCTCTGCCCTCCTGCCCTGTTGTCATGTCGATCAGTACCAGGCCCAGGCGGGCGGAGGAACGGCCCCTAAGTATCCACGTCCTTGTCCCCAGAGCCTGTAAATGTCAGCTCCCAAGGCAAAAGAGTCTTTGCAGATGAGATTAAGTTAAGGATTAATCTTGGGGCGGAGAGAGTGTCCCAGACCGTCCTGAACGTGGCGCCGCCTCCAGAAGGAACAGAGCCTGCGGACACCTCGGTTTTAACGCAGACACCGATTTTGGAGTTCCGAGCTCCAGACTGTAAGATAATCAATGTGTGTTATTTTAAGCCACTAAAGTGGCGGTAATTTGTTAGAGCAGAAGTAGGAACCTAACCGGGCCGCCCCAGGATTCAGGGGGAGGCAGCTGAGTACAGAGGGTAAGAGGTGAGAGGACTTGGCTCAAAGCTGCTTTTTCCTAGGACGGGCAGCATCCCCGAGGCTCCAGGGGCCCCCCGCCCCACACAAGTACCCTGCACAGGGCTGTTGAATCGGCGAGCCGGGGCGCTTCGTAGCCCTGCTGAAAATTCCTAGTCTTTACTCCTGCTCTGGCTTGATGCTTGCCTAGATGAAAACAAAACAGAACTCTATTTTAAAAAGAGTTTAGTTGTTCTTTCTCTCAGCTGTGCATGCACGGAATTTGGAGTGAAGACGCAGTGCAGCGGCCGCTCCCAGGCCCCCCTCGGGAGGCGTTTCCTCGTGTCCACGCAGGTCGTCGAAGGACACGTGCCTGTGGCTACTGCCCAATGGTCAGATCTGCTGACGTGCCACAGCACGGGGCTCCCCTCCGCCTCGCGTGCACGCCCTTCCTGTCGCACCATCTTCAGTAGGGTCACCAGGGTCTCACTCAGATGAGTCATGTGTTTACCACTCACAGCTGAGCCATGTTGAGAGGGAGGTGACGTCTCCCTGCCTGACAGTGTTTTGAGTCCTCAGGGCCTGTGATGACTTTGTTCGGTCACTTGGTTGGACTGCTCTGGATCAGCACTCCCCTCCCCCACCCCCCACCCCCGCTCCACGAGCACCGCTTCCCAGGCATCTCCTGGCTCTTCCCGAACTGCCGGAGTCGGCTGCCGGGCGGTGGCCTCGGGGTCTCCCTGCACCCGGCCCCAGCTCTGCGTCTCGTCTTGGCCCATGGCCTCTGTCCCCGCCCCCGGGTCTCCTGGCTAGTTGATTCCTGAGCCTTGGGTGGAGCGCATGCTCCAGGAATTCCGGAGAACAGGTGGACAGGCAGTAAATTGGGAGGATCTTGCGATTCTGAAATGTCTTTATTTTACCCAGTTTGGGCTTAGAATCCAGGTTGGAAACCATTTTCCTCAGAATTTCCACGGCACTGTTCCTTTTCTTCCAGCTTCGGAGCCTGTGGCCGAGAAGGCCCATGCCACTGTGAGGCTCGGTCCTGTGCAGACAAGCTCGCTTTCTCCCTGGAAACTCCCGGGACCTTCTCTTTGTCGCTGGCGTTCTGAATTGTCACACGAGGTGTCTCTTTATGGCTGTCCTACCCCGCCAGTGCTGCACACTCGTTGAGCACGGATACGCCAAAGTCTCAGATTTCCTCAACTCTGGGTGCCAGCTTGCTTCCTTCTAAGCGGCTTTGCTGTCCCCCGACCCTGCCACCCTGTCCCCATCACAGGGCCTCCTCAAAAGTATCATGATCTTTGATGGCTCATATCTAAGACGGAGACGGTTAAAAAACATTTATAAGCTGTGGATGTGTGCGTGCAGGCGTGTATGTGCATGTGTGTGTGCATGTGCATGTGAGTGTATGCATGTATGTGCATGCATGCACGTGGGCATGTGTGTATGTGCATGTGTGCATGGGTACGTGTGTGCATGTGGGGTGTGCATGTGCATGTGAGTGCAAGTGGGCGTGTGCATGTATGCACGTGAGCATGTGTGTATGTGCATGTGTGCATGGATGCATGTGTGCATGCGTGCATGTGTGTGTGTGTGCATGCGTACATGTGTGTGTTTGGGAGGGGGGATGAAGTTGCCAGATTTAACAAATAAAAATACAGGAAGATGTGGATTTCAGAAAAACAACGAATACTTTTTTAGCATAAGTAAGCCCCAAATATGTGTGGGACATAGTTATGCTAAAAATTCTTTGTTTCTTACCTGAAATCCACATTGAACTGGGCTTCCTGTATTTTACCTGGCAGCCCCCGGTGGCAGGTGATTTTTGATGGCTTCCGGCAGGGCTCGGTGCTGCAGGAGTCAGGTCCTTGCCTTCAGGCTGTAGCCTGCAGGGTAAGTCCGGCACCAGCACCGGGCCCCCCGGGAAGGAGGCTGCAGGTCTCGGCACGGAGAGGTTTGCTTACTGCATGGTGTTCAGTGTGGTGCCCTCTCCCTCCGCTCTGTCCTTGAACCTGGGACCCTGGGTTTGCCCTCACTGGGCAGCTAGGGCGGAGGAGGGGACGTGGAGAGCCCCTTGCAGTCACTCCTCCCACCTGCGGCCCTTCCCTCTTCCAGGTTCACCTTCTGGGCGCTCCGTGGGGTTGACTGGTCGGTTCCGCTCGCCCATCTCCTGTTCTCGCTGTTACCTCTTGTGGTTCTGTCTGTCTTCGTGGCTTCAGGCTGTTAAAACACTGTGCTGCCAGCGGTGCTGCGCTTTTGGTGTTCAGGATGCCATCTTTGACATGAGCTCCTTTCCAGTTTAATTTTAAGGTGATCTGCCCTTCCAAGGAGCAAGTCTGTACCAAACTATAGTAACGGTGGTTACTCATCATATAAACACTGCCAGTTGGTGCCAGGCTCTGTCCTGGGCCCTGTGAACATGCTCCCGATGGCTTGGCTCTACTCAGCCACCCTGGGCGGTGCGCCTCGGGCTCTGGGTTTTAGCAAAGAAAAGGGGCTTCAGTGAGTTAGTGGCTTTAAGTCACACCCTGGGTCCCCCGGTGAGTGGGCAGAGCTGGGGGCTGGCCCTTCACTTGGCCTCTGACACAGTGCCTCTCCGGGGACCCCACTTATCCACTGTTTGGAGCAGTAGAATCTTCTCTTTGGTGATGACTGCGTGTTGCTTGTGGGGGACGGTGGTGGAGTGGGAGCCGCCCCCTCAGCCAGTTAGAAAAGGGGCTCCGGACTGAGGCCCCTCCTGGCTTCTTGCCCCTCGCGGGGCTCAGCCCAGAGGATCCTGGAGACTGTCCCCACTTGCCTGCCTGCCTTGTGTGTCTCCTTTGTTACTTTTTAAAGAGAAATCTAGATAATGTTTTTAAAAATGAGATTTGTATCTTCTCACTGTTTGGATCCCACCAAATGGGTTGGAGTTATTAAAAAAAACAAAAAACAAAAAACAAAAAACAAAAAACCCCAACTCCCTCAACTCCAGCTTTCATGTCCAGGATGGAGAAGACTGATTTTAAAGATTGAGTAGGTGATTTTTATGTTGTGTGCACTTAGTATAAACAAATGGAACAGTCCGAACAAACCCAAGTGCCCTTTTGTTCTCCCTTTCTGTCTAATATCGACGGTTTTGTGGAAAAGCTATGTTTTTACGATTCTGAAGTACCTACTTCTTTTCCCCCGGGTAAAATTTAACTGCGTCTTATTTATTGCACTGGGTATTAACACTCATAGTTTATTAAGGAATTTTCTCCAGGGCTTGTTGAACACGAGGCGTTGGGAACGGACGCCCCGGTGTGTGGAAGGAGGTTATATTAAAGTCCAGCCATGCACGGCAGGGGACAAACTGGGACCCCCAAATTCCAGGGGACGATCACCCCCCGGGTCCCACGGGCCCCATCCAAGACAGGTCTCCCCTTCCCAAACCTACCAGTGGAGGGGGGCTTGGAGCCGTTTCTCCTCTGGCCTTCCCACTGCTGGAAGCATCTGGAGGGATGGGGCCGAGCTCGGGCGCAGAGTATGGGGCGACCCGCCACCCCCTGCGGTGTTCGGGGGGGACAGAGCTGTGAGGATGACCAAGCCACTGCTCGGCCCCGGGGGGCGGGACACTCATGAGGGGTCCGCTCCACACGCATCATAATGCATGGCTTCTCTGTGACGTGAGCTGGGCCCCCGGAGGTCTGGGGGTGCAGAACCATCAGCGACGGCTGCATCGGGTGGGTCCTCTGGGGAAGTGGCCGGGACCCCCAATGCCCAAGTTGTGAGGGCTGACACGGTGTGGCTGTTGCTTCAAGAGCAGGAGACTCTGGGTGGCGGGGGGGTCAGGTGGTCAGGTGGGGGCGTGGCTGGATTCCTCCGTCTCTTGAGTCTGAGGCAAGACCCCAGGCAAGGGCATGGGCGGTAGTGGGCACTACGCTTTCATCTGGGGCAGAGAGGGCTTGCGTGGGCAAAGGGACCCCCTCTGTGGATGGTGTGATGACCGCACTGGGGCTGGGGAAGCCCTGAGCCCTGGGCACTCGGGGGCCTGGAGGATGCCTTGGCTGTCTCCGGGGTCAGCTTCAGTTGCTTTTCCGGCAACATGAGCATAGCGGAGTGAGGGAGGGACAGGCTGGGTTCAAGAGCTCTGCCAGGATGTCCTAATGACCATCCTGGAGAGGCTCCCCTTGTGCCCTGTTCCGGGCTGGTGGCCACACTCTCTGGGTGTTGGGCCCCGGGCACCTACCTCCACTGGGCAGTGGGCGGGCAGTGGCTTTGGGCCGTCGTGAGTGAGCAGTGGACGATGGGACCCCACCCCCACCCTTTGCTCTAAGTCCCGCTGCTGTGCTGTGCATTGGTGACCCTACACACGGACGCCCTAATACCCAGGACACGAGAGTGTGACTCTATTTGGAAAAAGCATCTCTGCAGATGTAATTAAGTTAAGGATGGTCAGATGGGGTCATCTGGGTGGCCCTAAATTCAGTGGTAAATGTCCCCATAAGATACAGACCAGGAGAGAGACAGACACACAGAGGAGATGGTGATGCAAAGACAGTGCCCGAGCCTGGAGATTCGCAGCCACAGCCCAGGCATGCTGCCAACTACCCGTAGGAGCTGGGAGAGACAGGGAAGGGCCCTCCCCTCAGGCCTCGGTTGGGAGCACAGCCTTTGGTCACCTTGATTTCAGATTTCCAGCTTCAAGAATCGTGAAAGAACACATACCTGTTATTTGAAGCCACCAGTTTAGGGTGCTGTGTTATGGCAGCCCCAGGACACAGATGCAAAAGGCCAGAGTCTCACATAGAATATCTAGAGGAATCTAGAGTGATGCTACCTTGAGGCCACATGGTGGGTGTGTGGGAGTGTGTGCACATATGTACACGTGTAGGCGGGCACGTATGTGTGTACACACGTACATGTGTATGGCGCATGCATGTGCTCATATGTACATGTGTGTATGTGCACACATGTGAATGTTTAGAGGAGCATGTGTGCAATGTACATGCATGTGCATACTTGTGTTCATATGCACACGTGTATGGGCGCATGCATGTGCTCACAACACATGTGTACACGTGCACATATGTGAGCATTTAGAGGAATATTTGTGCATGTGTGTACATATATATGTGTGCACACGTACACGTGTGTGCACACTTGTGCTCATATGTGCATGTGTAGGTTGCATGCACGTGTGCACCTGTGTACATGTGTATGTATGTGTGTGTGCGCATGCACATGGGGGAGTGCCTACATGCATGTGTGTAAACGTACATGGGTGTGCGTGTGCACATGCAGGGAGTGGGGATTCTGCTTCCTGAGCATCCGGGTGATTTGCAGGCAGCCTGGTGCCTCTGCGGGGGTCTTCGTGTCAGAAGCCTGCGTTGTGGCTGCGGATGAGATGTCCGGGGCAGGCGATGGACCTCAGCTCGCAGCCCGCCGGAGCTGCCGCCACGGTGCCGAGCCAGGCTCCCGCCTCCACCATTCCTTGAGCCTCTGGAGTCCTTAGTCACGACTCAAGGCCACGGGGTCCCAGGGGAGCTCACACAGGATCCTATTCAGCCTGGTTTCATCTGAGGCTGGAAAGAGTGGCTCAGGATTCTTCCGTGCTGTGTGAGCTGGGTGCAGGTTGGTGTTGGCGGTGTGTTAGGGATACAGAGATCTCAATCATAGATAAATCTGGAGATGAGATGTCTCCTTTGCATAATGCCTGACACAGGGGACCCCATATTCAGTCTTTGAGGAGGGGGGTCTCATGCGGGAATTGGGACCAAGGGAGAAGCAGCACAGCTTGAGGGGCCTGCGTCACCCATGGGACACCAAAGGAGCAAAGTGAAGGCAGCTCTGTCCTGCTGGGGCCCGCCCCGTGCCTAGGAGCCTGTGGCCAGGCCTGTGGCTGCTCTCCGTGCCGCCTTCCCGACCACCCAGCTTTCCCTCCCACAGTCCCCTGTGCATCCACCGAGCCCAAGGCCCACACCAAGGACGGCTGACAGCCAGGGTGACTGATGACCTGGACGACCAGTAAGAAGCCCCCGGACGGAACAACTGGCCCTGAGGAAAGTGGACACAGCTCAGGGAACATCGAGAAATGCGTAAGTTATAAATGTTATAATTAGAATTGAAAATAAGTTGTATTTAATCCTTAAAATTAAAAGAATTATATTAGTATTCTCAGAGAGAATGAAAAAGATATTACATCTATAGAGTAGGAAGTTATTAAAAAACAATTTAAAGGTAAAACAAAAAATGTGCGAAATAATCAGCCTCTTGGATGTTCCACAGTCCGTCACTCTGTCCTCTGAAAACCAAATAAGCTGGCCTGGGCTTCTGACCCCTGGTAGTCTGTCCGGGAGCCTTCACCTGCCTCTGTTGACTTTGGATAGCTTGCTCACTGGTTTATTTCCTGCGCTGTTGTGCCTTTGAAGCAGGGGGTGAAATGGACACCATTCCTCTACTTTCTCCCCTCAAAACATTTGCCCCAGGGCTGTTGTGTTCCCCAAGGTTCCAGAACAGAGCAACAGAATCACAGGGAGGAAATACCCTCCAGGTGAATGGTCTGGGGTCCGGTTGCCCACTGCTCCGTCACTTTGCTGTGCAGATGAACTTCTTGCCTCTCTGTCTTCACCCTTCTCATCCATGCTTTGTCTTGGGGCCACAGGCCCGTGAAAGGTATTTTCCTAAGGGGACAGGAGTGCCTCACCTGAGGCCTGCATGAACTTTTCTTCTCCCCCACGCCGATGCACCAGGCAGGGCCTGGGAGGGGACTGTCGGAAGTCACTAGGGGAGAGCGTGCGGTGGTCTCCTGTTGCTGCCCTAACAAATCAGCACAGCCTCGGCTCAACAGCTCATGGCGATGAGCTCACAGTTCTCTAGGTTGGAGATCTGACCTGCCTTAATTGGGTTCTCTGCTTGGTGTCCAAAATTGAGGTGTAGGCCTGCTGGGCTCTTCTGGGAATAATCCACTTCCAAGCTCATTCATGTTGGTGTCCTAATTCAGTGCCCATGGTTATAGAGCCAACAAAGGTCTTTGTTTCCTGGTAGATCTTGTGCTTTTTCCAAGGAAAAGTCACAGAGCTCTGAGGACTGGACCCACCATTACTGGAGGGGGCCAGATGGAAAGTGTAAAGGGGAATACAGGTTCCGGCTGACAGCCAGCCAGGAAGTCAATAAATAAAAGAAATCCAGATTGGAGAGGAAGAAGTAAAACTATATTTACAGATGACTTGATAGAAGGAATGTCAAGGAATTTGTGACCATCTTTAATCTGTCAAGGTGGTGCTGGCTGGAGCCTCTAGTACAAAGTTGAAAAGGAATGGTGAGAGCAAACACCCTTATTTGATTCCCAATCCTACAGAGAAAACATCCAGTCTTTGACCATCACATATGGATTTAGCTGTGGGTTTTTTGTAGATGTGTTTTATTAGGTTGAGGAAGTTCTTTTTTGTTTCTAGTTTGTTGAGGTGTTTTTTGTTTTAATCACAAAAGGAGGTTGGAGTTTGTCAGATGCTTTGTCTGCATGTGATTATCATGTGATTTTTGCTTTTTATTCTATTGATAGGATGTATTATATTAACTTGTTTTCAGATGTTGAACCAACCTTGAATTCCTGGGACAATATCAACTTGGTTATGTTGTACAGTTCTTTTAGGTGTTGCTAGATTTGGTTTGCTAGGATTTATTGATGATTTTTTGTCCACATTCATATGAGATACTGGTCTGTAGTTTCCTTGTGACATTTTCCAGTTTTGGTAACAGGATAATAATGGTCTCATAGGATGAGTTGGGAAGTATTCTCCCCATTTTTGGAAGAGTCTGTGAAGAAAAGGTGTTTATTTATTTATTTTTTCTATAAGTGTTTGGTAGAATTCAGTGGTGAAACCTCCAAGGCTGAGCTTTTCTTTGTGGATAGTTTTATGATTACTTCTTCAGTCTCTTCACTTGGTTTAGGTCTATTCAGATTGTCTCTTTCTCTTTTTGTGTTAGTTTTTGTATTTTGTGTCTTTCTAGGAATTTGTCTAATTCATCTAAGTTATATCATTTATTGGCATGTGATTATTCATAATATATATGTTATACAATATATGCATATTGTATGCATAATTCATGGCATACAATAGTTCCTTTATAATACTTTTTATTTCTGTAGGGTCATTAATAATGTCTCCTTTTCATTTATGATTTGAATAATTTGAGTCTTCTTTTTTGACTAATTTAGCTAAAGGTTTGTCAAATTTGTTAATCTTTTCAAAGAATTGGCAATTGACTTTTGGCTTCATTGATTTTCTCTTTTGTTTTTCTATTTTCTTCTCTAATCTTGTTATTTCCTTTCTTGTGCTTGCTTTAGTTTTAGTTTGCTTTTTCCAGTGTCTTAAGGTGGAAGGAAGGTTTGATATATTTCTTTTTTATTTAAATTGAGATATAATTGACCTATAATATTGTATTAGTTTTAGGTATACAATATAATGATTTGATGTTTGTATATATTGCAAAGTGATCATCACAATAAGTTTAATTAACATCTGTCACCACATATTTTACAACCTTTTTTTTTTGTGATGAGAACTTTTAAGATCTACTCTTAGCAACTTTCAAATATACAATACAGAATGATTAAATAGTCATCATGCTGTACATTGCATCCCCAGGACTTATATATTTTATAAATGGAAATTTATATCATTTGGCCATTCACTTGTTTTGTCCCTCCCCCCCCCCCCCCCCCCCCCCCCGCAATGGTCATCACCTGAGGGCTTTCTTTTTAATATAGGCAGTTACAGCTGTAAATTTCCCTCTACCTATTGCTTTAACTGCATCTTATAAGTTTGAGTATATTGTGTTTTCATTTTATCTCAGAGTATTTACTAATTTCCCTGTGATTTCTTCTTTGATCCATCGATTATTGAGGAATGTATTGTTTATTTCCTTTTGTTGTTTTATTTCTTCATGCAGTCTTTCCTGATTTTTGAGTGTTTTGTTTCATTTTGTTTGCTTTAAAAGGTTAACATGGTGAATTAAAGATGGCCACAAATTCTTTGACATTCCTCCTGTCAAGAGGTGAAGTTCATAGCTCCCTTTCTCTTGAAACTAGATGGGCTCTGTGACTGTTTTGGCTAACAGAATACAGGAGGATTGGTGCTACATGATGTCTAAAGCCAGGCTGGAAACTTTTAGAAACTTTGCTGTTTTGCTTTGGTATTTTGGAATGCTTGCTTGGGGAGGGCAGGGTGTAAGCAGTCCAACTCCTCTGAGACCACTAGACTGTAAGGAAGGCCAGGCTAGCCCTGTGGAGAAGCCACTTGAAGAGAGAGAAGTGCTGACCGCCCTGGATCAGTCTGCTAGAGCTGCCATAACAAAATGCCACAGACTGGACAGCCTAACCAACAGAGATGTGTTTTCTCCCAGTTCCAGAGAGTGGAAGCCTGAGGCCAGGTGCCAGCATGGTCAGTTTCTGGGGAGAGCTCTCTTCCTGGCTTGCAGACAGCTGCTGTTGTCCTCGTGTAGTAGACAGAGAGAGAGAGAGAGAGAGAGCGAGTGAGCACGAGCGAGCTCTGGTGTCTCATCTCATTTTATAAGGACATTAATCTTATCGTATCAGGGCCCCCCATTATGACCTCACTTAACCTTTTATTACTTCCTTAGACGCCCCATCTCCAAATACAGCTGCACTTGGTGGGGGTTAGGGCTTCAACATATGAGGTTTAGAGTGGGACACAGACATTCAGTCCACAATTAGCGCCCAGTAGTTCTCATCCCTGAGGCATCTTAGCCCAGATATCAGATAGGAAACAAAAGAAGTCATCTTGGTAACTCTGGCCCTTTCTGGGTCCACATTAAGACCAATTGAGGCCCAGACACATGGCTCCAGGTGGGCTGTCACTGCCATCTGCTATTTGAGCCCCAGTGGCCGAGGCCGCAGATGTTGTAGAGCAGAGATGTGCTTTCCCCACTGTGGCTGCCCTGATTACTGACCTACAGAATTGAGAGCATAATAAAATGGCTTCTATACCACTAAGCTTTGAGGTGGTTTGTTATATAGCAAACAGAAATAGGAACAGTGAATTTGTCCCGTTTATGTTTATTGTTAACTATCTAACTGTTAATTATCAGTTAACTTCTTTGAGCCTCATTTTACTTATCTGTAGCAAATAATACTTAAGGATTAAGTAAGTGTAGTGCTTAATATATACACATGTATAAATGTGTATACACACACACCTATGTATATAGTGACTTGAAAAAAAAGGTACTAGATATACATAGTTTTGCATGTTTTCTTTCATTTGCTTGACAATATGAGGCAGTAAGTGTTTTGATTCTCTCCATCTGCTTTCTTACTTGTGATATTTTTATTTTTTGAGTTTGAGCTTTTTCAGAGGTTAAGATGCTGGGTTTCTTGTACTTGTTCCTCTGGGAGGGCAGCAGTTTCATATGGGGTTTCCTGTTTGCCCCAAATTAGTGAGAGCAGAAATCTTGTATGCCTGTGCCCTGTGGTGCCTCCCTCGGCCCAGGCCCCGGGTGTGCTGGCAGCCTGCTCTACGCACTCTCAGCTGGCTTCCTCCAGAGAGTCTATCAAGAGGCTGTGGCTTTTCCTGAGTCTTTGATTTTTATCTTCATTTTTTTGGTGAATAAAAGAGAGGGTGTTTTGGGGCTGTGGTTTGTATAAGAACGTATGGTATTTTGACAAATGTGCGTTATTATGCCGTTTATCCTTGGCTGTCCAGGATGGAGCAGAGCCCTGCCTCAGCCCTGGAATTGGTCGAGGTTAATCAATGGAAAACCTCCTTGCTCCATTCATGGGGCAGGCGTGTCTGTGAGTCCAAACGACAGCAATTCTCTCACATCAAAGCTCTTGCTTCGTCAGACGTCCATCCCTCATCGGGAAAGAATTCTCGCCTTGTCAGAGGTTCAGGAAGGACTGACATGAATCAATAGACTGTTTCCTCAGAATTCTGCATGATGTCAATGGTTTTCATGGAATGAAATACCCTCTTAGACTCAGAAGGCTTAAATGGAAACATACACCACTCACGGTTCACACTTGACGGGATAATGGTTAGCTCCTTCCCCAAACACCAGAGCTGCAGAAGCTGCTTCGA